TTTTTTTTTTTTTTTTTTTTTATTTTATTTTCTTGTTGTTTGTTTGTGACGAGATTCTAAAACTCGTCACAGGGTTTGCATGTCTGATGGTGTTGAACTGCCACTTATATTTCGCCTGTAGGATCAAATGTTCAATATGTATTATTTTTTGAATTCAGTAAAAATAAAACTGTCAACATTGTAGTAAGTAAATAACGTAAAGTAATAAAAATAAAGTAATTTCGTTTAAAATACAATATGTAATTTCAGTTTTTTTTTAACCTTTTACTTTTTTGTTATTAAGAACTTAAAATTCCTGTAATGCCCATAAAAAGAGAGCTTATAATTGTGAAGTATTCATTATATAACGATTATATCCCTCACTGCAAGAGATAATCGTAAGTAACGGATATTATCATAAAAAAAGGCAAGCAGTATAATTAAAATTATTTTTTATTCGTTTTAAAACTAAGCTCTAAATTTCATATTTAATTTGAGAATAACAAGTAAATAATTAAAAAAAAATATTATAAGCATCACTTAAAAATAAATAAAAACAAACGTATTAAAATTTTGTAAACTGATCAACTTGGTTAAATACGTTATACGTTTACTTGATTTACCCTGAACTGCTTGGTTGATTAGTACTTTTCGATGCTGTAATACTTGTAGGTGAAGAATTCGATAAATGATCGATTGACTTTAATGGGAATCCTGGGCTATTTTCTAATAGCTAATAGCTGCGTTTCAGCAAACATGATCCGCTCAATTTTACATGCAAAACAAAAACAATGGGGTGAACCCACAATTGATCTGGTTCACTTTCTGGTTCAATGTGGAATGTATGTGAAAGATAAAAGTGGAACGTATTTTAATGCAAATGAGGTTGGCAATGCGATTATTTACGTTTCGTTGTTAGCTGCGTTTCAGCAAACATGATCCGCTCAATGATCTGAATCATCTTTGCTGAAACGATACGGATCACGTTTGAAAATAATTGGCAACGCATGAAATATGCCAGTTGGGTTTGTGTACAAAATTTTTTGATTTATGTGAATAATTTTGGCGCTAAAAAAATAAGTGAGAAAATTTTGAATACAAAAAATTTAAAACTTGGAAAATAAATAAAATCTGTTGAAATGTCTGAAGTATAAAATGTAAGTTTTTATTTAGTATTTACTTAAAAACTTAAATTTAATTCTATAGTAAATAAATGGAAATTGCAGATTTTATTAGAATTATCGAGCAAAACTGACTCCTCCATTTTCTTTTTAAACAGTAGTCCAAGTGTATTAAGCTCAGGGGATGAAGTGCATCAGCATGGATATAGTGGAAATTTTATGGAAACGATCAATAATTGTTCCGTTAAAGATTATTTGACTGGTATTTGCGCATAAAAAATACAATTGCTATATATTAATTATGATTCATATTTTAATAGATTTGTTAATAAAATCCAATTAGCAAATACAAAATAACCGTGGAGGTCACAATTTAACTAGAGCAATGAAGGAATTTTATATATTTTTGTGGTATATGGCATATATAAATACTTTTCCAAAATTTGGTATTTGTTTTGGCATATCAAAAGCTTCTGTATGGAGGATAATTGAAAGAACTAGTGTTTAGCTTATATCAATTGAACACTAATTTATTAAATACGCACTTGCTTATAGTGCAAAAGTGGAATCTACGAAAAAATTTCCGTTCGTGATTAGTTGCATAGACAGCACACATGTTAAAATAAATGCACCTCACCATAGCAAATAGGCTTATTTCAAAAGAAAGCATGACTATAGCTTAATCTTGCAGATAGTTTGCGATGAAAATGATTTTTTTTATAAACGTTTATGTTGGAGAGCCTGGATCCTTATGTATTGTTCTGTTTTAATTAAATAAATGTGTTCAACTTAATTTATATATATTCATTTCAAATTAATTGATTTTAATAAATTATCAAACAACACTTTTTCAATAATAATAAAACGTAAATAAATAAGGTAATAATTTTAATTATAGTAATAGTTAAAACATTATTTTAAACAAAGAAATAAATAATAACGACATATTAAATAAATAAGTACATAAAATAAATAATAAATAAATAAAATCAATAATAAATAAATATAAATGTAGATTTGTTTATAATTTTACTGCACCGTTGCATAGCATTGCCAACCTCATTTGCATTAAAATACGTTCCACTTTTATCTTTCACATACATTCCACATTGAACCAGAAAGTGAACCAGATCAATTGTGGGTTCACCCCATTGTTTTTGTTTTGCATGTAAAATTGAGCGGATCATGTTTGCTGAAACACAGCTGTTATTGAAAAAGTGTAGTTTGATAATTTATTAAAATCAATTTGAAATGAATATATATAAATGGAGTTGAATACATTTATTTAATTAAAACAGAACAATACATAAGGAACCAGACTCTCCAACATACACGTTTATAAAAAAACCATTTTCATCACAAACTGCCTGCAAGATTAAGCCATAGTCATGCTTCCTTTTGAAATAAGCCTATTTGCTATGGTGTGGTGCATTTATTTTTACATGTGCGCTGTCAATCACGAACGGAAATTTTGCAATTGATATAAGCTAAACACTAGTTCTTTCAATTATTCTCCATACAGAAGCTTTTGGTATGCCAAAACAAATACCAAATTCGCGAAAAGTATTTATATTTGCCATATACCACAAAAATATGTAAATTTTCTTCATTATTCTCGTTCAATTGTGACCACTACGGTTATTTTGTATTTGCTGATTGGATTTTATTAACAAATCTATTAAAATATGAAACATAATTAATATATAGCAATTATATTTTTTATGCTCAAATACCAATCAAATAATCTTTAACGGAAACATTATTAATCGTTTCCACAAAACTTCCACTATATCTACAATTTTCATTTATTTACTATAGAATTAAATTTAAGTTTTAAAGTAAATACTAAATAAAAACTTACATTTAATACTTCACACAGCTCAACAGATTTTAATTTTTTTCTATTTTTTAGATTTTTTGTATTCAAAATTTTCTCACTTATTTTTTTAGTGACAAAATTATTCACACAAATCAATAAATTTTGTACACAAAACCAACTGGCATAATTCATGCGTTTATTTATTATTTTTATACGTGGTCCGTATAGTTTCAGCAAAGATAATCCAGATCATTGAGCGGATCATGTTTGCTGAAACGCAGCTAATGTTATAAATAAACAACAGCTCTACACGAATATTTATTCTTTAAAAAAACTCTTCGAACAGTATGATGTGGGATGTTTACATAACATTCATTTTTAGTTCCGACGTAATCTTTCTGGTGCTTATAAAGTAATTTTTATCGGTGGTCTTTATTATTTCGCCACTTTATTTGAGGCAGTAAGTCTATTGATTTTCTATTTTAATGTTATAAATAAACAACAGCTCTACACGAACATTTATTCTTTAAAAAAACTCTTCGAACAGTATGATATGGGATGTTTACATAACACTCATTTTTTAGTTCCGACGTAATCTTTCTGGTGCTTATAAAGTAATTTTTATCAGTGGTCTTTATTATTTCGCCACTCTATTTGAGGCAGTAAGTCTATTGATTTTCTATTTTATTTCGTTGTTCACAACTGTAAACTGTTATAAATGAATATATATTATATATATTATATATATATATATAATATATATATATATATATATAAATAATATATTTATATTTTGGTCCAAAAATATTGACAGAATGATAACAGAAAAAAATAATGCCAAAAAATATCACCACCTTAATGCTATTAATTGTTGAAGTCGAAAATGTAAATTTTTGTTTTGCCTAGCTTTTTGAGACAAACTGTATTTAATAATAATATAAAAACACAATTAACATATAAAATATAAATGTCAAATAACTAGATAAATGTGTAATCTCTTTTTTAATTTTATTGATGAAGACTGATCAGTGATTTTAAATCTGATTAAGCTTCTATTTCTGACACATTCACTGTTGATATCTTCAAGTCACCATATAGCATGTGACAAATTATGGATAATACCACAATTAAAAGTAACAACTCTACATGGAGTCAGCATACAAGGTAACCGTGTATTGAACCAATTGCTTTTCTTTTTTATTTTATTTAAAACAAACTTGTAAATTTTTTTTTTTTTTATTAATTTTGGCACTTTATTTTAAAATTTCAAATGAATATTATTTTGTAAATTTAATTTTTGAAACCTAATACTTTTAGAAAATTATTATAAATACATATATGTATCAGTTCATTAGTAAAATGCTAAACTCTATGTTACAATTAATATATTAATGATCGCATTAGTTGCTTAATAATTAATAATATAACTGAATGCATCCAATAAAAATTTTTTAAAATTATTAGATCATATATAACTATTCATATAAATGTATTTTATTAATTTTATAAATTATTTTCTTTTGTAAAGTTAGAAATTCTTAGATTAACGTTTCTTATGAAGCTGTAACCAAAGTGATGGCTGACTTTGAATTAAAAATTGATATACCGCGAAACGGCTTTTTATATTTATTTGCAACCAGTCAAATGAAATTAAAGCCCCTTGTTTCGATTTATACTCGAATTTTTACTGATGAAAATGTATTCTTTTTATTTTCGAGTATTTCGAACTTCAATAATTGTTGGACCAGACCCTCTTCTCTTTTGGTCGTCTTTATGCAAGAGAATTCGTTTACTTTGTGGCATTTCGTTTGTTTTGGGATAGTTGTACGGAGAAGCGGAAATGTATTCATTGTTGTTAGTACTACTTCTTCTTATAATCCCAGCTGTGTCTTTGTTGAGTTCTACAGTGAGAGTCTGGCAATCTAACGAAGACTTTGAATGAAGCGTGTACTTTGATGTTGTTCTGGTGGGGTTATCATCGTTACCATGCAAAGTTTTATATAACTCAGGCGATTGTTGTTGCAGTTCATTTAAAAATATTTGTTTTTTATCTTCTCGCTTTATCGGCACACTAGGACCACTTATTCCATAATTAATAAGTTCTTCATCATCATTTACGTCTATTTTAGTCAGATCCTTTTGACTGCGACTAATTAAATTTACAATGGAAGGACTTTTCAATCCGCTCTGCAGTATCGACGAATTTATATCTCTTATGTCTCTGGAATCTGAAAAGAGATGCGGATTGGATTTGTATGCATGGCTATTGTGCAAATTGCTTGTATAACTATTTTTAGTGAGTTTTTCAATATATATTGGACTAGGGTCGTTGCTACCATTCATGCCGTGTACATTAAAATTAAAACTTTTGCTGCGATTAAGTGCTTTTGCATACGTTCTTGCAGGTTTTGCTGGACCCATTTGAACATTTGATTGATTAGCGCTTCGTTTCTCTGGATGCCCAAGCGTATGATGCCCGTTCACGAAACGCTGTGTAGTTTTATTGCGTTGTTGTTGTTGCAATAGTACTTGGTGTTTTTCGTGTAATTTCCGAGGCAATGTTTGTGTTGATCTTAAGTCATGGTTAAGATTTGGGGTTGATCCAGCAAATCGTTGAATACTTTTCTGATACCGTCCCAAAGTGTTAGATGCGATATTTCTGAAAATTATAGATAATAAATGATAATTGATAATAATTGATATATAATTACGTATTATTTTAAATGTATTTACTTAGGATCATAGTTATTTTCATCATTTTGTCTTTCTCTACCGATTTCTCCAACATTTCGGTCTACATAATTAAAATCTATGTTAGGTTTAATATTTCTGTTACGTTTAGCAATAGAATTTGGATCATAAATATTCTCCTTCCCATATAATGTGCTTGAGTATGGATCTTCTCCCAAGTAATAACGTTGTCGTGGACTGGTTATTTGATCGGTATCTCTCTCATTTACGAAAGCGTCCGCCGATTCCGCACGTTTGTAAAGACGTTGATTATTGCGTCCAGTTAATGCAGATTCATTATGGTATAAACCAGAATCAATTTTGTTCGTATGAATTTGCTCATGTTGTACGCTTTCACGTTCTGAATCATTACTATCAGGTTGGCCAACAATATGACTATCAATAAGATTATATTGTTGATATGTGGTGGTGCCATTCGTGTTTCTTTGTTTAGCTAGAGATTGCGGTGAAGGCGACTGCTCGCGAGACTTGCTTTTTGATTTCATACGCATTTTACGCTCAACGCTGGCGGAACGTATTTTGTTGACTAATTTGCGCAAAGAGTTGCCAATAACTTGACTTACTTTGCTTGACTTATGAGATGCTGCCGTAGATGTAGAAAGTGTTGAAGGAGTGGTCTGCGTGGTTTGGGTAGCCATTACTGGACGCTGTAATGTAGCTGCATTATAAGACGTTGGAGACGAAGTTGGTGCGAATCGTGTGCGTTGATTTTGTTTCCGGGTCAATGTGGTTATAGCGTGTCCAGTGGTGTAACCATTAAAAGTATTTCTGTTACTGTTTAAGGAGTGTGAAATATAGTCAATTTGTGGTGAAGAGCTACGGGATGGAGGTAAATAGTCTGGAGGCGGTTCATTAACATTTCTAAAGGGTTGTAATGGCACTTTTAAGGTAGGTGATACACTACTTTGTTGACGCAACTTTTTTTCTATGGCACGTCTACGCTGGGGAACAGTTGGGCGTCCAAGGGTGCTGGCTCTTAAGTTTATGTCTTCAGAAGTAGGGGAATGACGCATGTTTTTATAGTTAGTGGTATGTATATCATATCGTGAAGAGTTGCTTAATTCGCGTTCATAACTCTTGGAACGCTCATTATTGTTATCGCCTACTCTGATGCCACTTGTAAGGACTATATTTTGAGATCTCATATTATCATTATTAATTCGTGTATGAAGGCGTCTATCTTCCTCTGATAACTTTGTGTTGTAATGCAAGTCTGTACGAAAACCATTCATTAGTCGAGTTGGTGTTGGCTCCTCTTCATTTAATTTATCATGAGACGTACTTCTTCTTGACCTTGCCAAAAACTGAGAGGAAATACTATGCCGTTTTTGTTGTAGTATATCTTCTTTTCTAACATAATTGTCATTAGGCACACCCACGTAACGCGAATCATTTAATATATCTCTAGAACTATACACAGTATTTTTCTTTAAACGATTCCTTTCCACTGTCTCCTGCAAATCATCTCGGAAAGCTTTTGTGGCAAAGTGATTTGTAGATACATCTTTGCGATCAGTCCAGTTCGATATACCTTGATAGTATTTCGATTTAACATTATTAGCTGATGTTTCATGGTCCTTAAAGTACTTCTTTTCGTAGGTGTTTGTAGGTCTGTTGCCATTTGCTGTCGCAGTATTTTGAGCTTGATTTGATTTAATTGTAACATTGAAGAAAGTCTTTTTCGTTGGCTCGATTTCTGTATCTTCGTCGTCATTTGAAACAGTAGACTCACTGCCAAAATGTGATTCAAGCCACTTCATTGTTTCTCCTTTACGAGTTTCCTCTTCACGATCAAAATCCAAGGGGCGCTTTGTTAATGCATCTTTGCGGTCTGTCAATAGCGCAACTTCTTTATTAAGTAAATGTCAGTTAAATAGATTCAGTATTATAAAAGTTTATTGCATACCTTTATGTTGCTGCATTAATGTCTTCTGAAGAGGTCTGCGCATTTTACGCATACGATCAGACAAACTGTCCCAATCGCCTGGCCGTTCCAATGAACCCTCTTTTTCCATTTGCATTGTTTCTGCTGCGTATTTCATTTCTGTATCTACTACTTTTCCGTTCTTAACTAAATCGACGTGTTGTTCATCACGTTGCTTGAAATAACGTTGTGAGGATTCCTATAATTTCAAAATATATTCAATTTTATTATAAATTATTGAATTGATAATTGAAGCTATTTTACTATTTTACGAATTCGCTCCTGACTGCCTGTTGACTTATCATCACCATCTGGCTGATCTTTATCTACAATTATCTCATGCTCAGTTGTTGTCTTACGCTCCGTCACAATTTTGCCATCCTCTTGTGTAAGACAACGTTTCTGTTTATCTTCAGTGTCTATAGTCTTGAAGGATTTGCTAGTGTTAGCTACAACCTTTGGACCCAATGGAACTAGCTGTTTTTGATTTTCTTCTAAATAAAGCACTGCTTCAAGATTTATTGTACCACTGTTGACCGCCTTTACGAAAGCCTGCAAGAGATAATTAAAAAATAAACTGTAATAAAAACCCAACCATTTCAGTAGCAAAATTTGTTGTTTTTGCTGTTACATCAGAAAGAACTTCTCTGCAATGCATGTATAATGCGGTGTTCGCTATTTGAGTTTTAAAAAACCAATTGCTCCAAATGTTGCAGCGGTATCTAGAGCAAAACAAAACCCACAATGCATGTTGCTTGATAATCTACGAAAGGTTGAATAATTCACTTTTACTTACAGTTTTGCGATCTGCTGGGTGTGTAGATGTGCAATATTTCATTTTGTTTACCCAGCCATATGTGTACATGCATAACATTCGGTATGCTAACAGTAAACTACAGTTCACAGTAACAAAATGTATAATTGAATTCAAAGAAGTTTTTCAAATCCATGGAAATTAATTTTTTTTTGGGGGACTCATAAAAGAAGTCTCAAATTAAATAACCTTTTTGTTTAACCACTTTTCGTAGCACATTAGCTTGGTTGAATGACCTTTTAGCTAGTCGTGCTCCTTACTATTACTGCTAATATAGATAAAGAGTTAGTGCTTCTAACTTAACAAAGGCATAATTTCTTTCAACGTTCAATTTATGGATTATACAGCGTTTACATTGTCATATTAAAAGTAGATTAAAGCAATAATCGAGATTAAAGTACTAATCTCGTTGTTTAATCTCAGATTTTCCATACAAAAGTTAATTAAGATTAATTTTTAGTTTTCTTAGAAATGGTGATTATTTTTCTGTGTAACTTTGCAAATGTCTCAATATCGTAGATTTTTTACCATCTTAGAAGAATATCAAATCTTAGAAAAATATCAAAATCTGTTCAAAACAAACATTGAAAGTTTGAAAATGCCGAAATGAGTAAATTTTTAATAAATTGGTTTAATAAAAGTTTTGTACCGAATTACAACTAAAATTTATTAAATTAATTAATTCGTAAAATGATTTATTTTAACTAACATTTATTGGCCTTTAACCTGCAGTTTCTGGCAAGTGCAAACTGTTCTCTTGTTCTCTCTCTAGAACTCATGTTCTATTTGGATTAGAAGCACAAGTTTGACCTTTTTCAGCAGACAAAGATATTTTTAACGACCGAAATGCTTTTAAGTTTATTTAGTGCTAAAGTGTTTCGTTTCATGACTCCTCCATTAAAACTTGACTATCTGAGCTTGTCGTGATTTCTTAGTCACTCTTCAACGGCTTAATTATTAAGGTCACCAAAGAGCTTCGAGTGCGGGTTTTGAACTGTGTTTTGATCGGTGCAAATAGTGCGGGGAGTTTTACGTCACTCTTTCGTTTTATTTAAATAATTATGTTTATTTTATTATACTTTTTATTGAAGCGGACGCTTATAATGAGTAAAATAAACATTGCAAAATTAAAATTAACGTTTTTATGGCAAAAAGTTTATTTAAAATAGTGAATACGGGGGGAAAATGATAAATCAGTTAAGAAAAAATATTACATGACTAATTAACAAAAATGCGAGTAAGTACGACATTGTCGCAGGTATTAGATAATTTTTGGTAAAAGTAAACCAGTATTTGTTTTTTTAGCCAATCACTTTTATTTTTTTTTATATTAACTTTACTCTTCTCATTGACAACAAATTCACTTAAAATGTTCAATGATTTGAACTTTTTAGGTTTTAAACCTTGAAAATGCTAAAAAATTCAAGAAAGCTAACTTACAAATATAATATTTTTTTTAAAAGATACATTAGCACTTCGTGCTAATGATTCTGTGTGATACTTATATGCTTGCTGAGGTGCAGTGTATTCATTTATAAACATTTTCATATTGTTTAGATCAATGAAACAATTAATAACTACGATCTAAAGTAAAGAACTGTCGCTATTATTGTGTCTTAAAGGGCATAATATATTTTATGCGAGTAAAACTTTATGTACTTATGTTGGTTGATTTACTGAATTTGAAATCGAAGATTTTTGAGACTAACACCGTTGACTGGAATGCTGTTTTTCTCTCAATGTATTTACAATATTATGTATTTAATAAGAAAGTATGGTTTGCTATTGGTAATATCATTTAAATTTAGAAAATGTTAAATTACATTAATAAACAAAAAAAAGTTCAATATCATTCACTGAACTTCTTATTCTGCGGTGAAATAGAACATAAAAAAATTTAGACCATGCGAATACTGGAGAAACTTGAAGAGAATCGGTGAAAACTCCTATCACTTATAAATAAATGTTTCAGGCGTCACATGGAGATATGTTAACTCAAATAAAGGTATAACCCTAAACTACGGTTTACAACTGAACTAAAGCGTAAAATAAAAAAAATCAAAGAGAAAAATAGAAATAAGTCAGTCTCACAATACAATCGCTAAATAGTAATATACACAAGCAGATTCTCCATTAAACAAACTCATGTTTAAACTACTAAAGGTTTACTATTCGATACTGGTAACATATTATCGATTATAGGTATAGGTAATATAATAGATAAATACCTTTTTAGTAGCACTTTGTAGTTAATCTTATAAATTGAATAGGTTCAGTTTGACACTATTACTTGGAAGAGGGATTTTAAAGGAAAGTAGTTTTCGTTGTATATAGGTTAAGTTAGATACGGTTAACTTGTGCTATCGTGTACATACTCAGATTATTTACTGACCAATTATGATGTTATTTATAACAGGATTTCCTGATCTCTTTTATATTTCCAAAATATTTTTGATTTTTTAATGAATTTTGACATATTTTTATATGGATGTTGTCAAGATTGATCGTTTTCCTAAATTCTACAATTTAGATGCCGTAAGACTAAGATAATGATATAAAAGATAGTATTCGATTTTATCTTTCTTCTTGTTTTTGCATCTTTGACAAAAATCCGAATCGATCATAATTTATTATGTTCATTTAAATTTTTTTCTTATGGTTTTACTTATTTTTATTTTAAGATATGTTACTCAATATTTTATGGAAAAATTAAGTAAATTGATTATAAGCCAATAAGTGAAGGTTTCAAGGTTTAATTCAGGGCTTGATATAACCCATTTTAATTTAAGCAACTATAATCCATTGATAATTTTTGCTGAAATTTCTATTAAAGCTAGTAGTCCCACTGAATTGAAAATTGCTGACGCATACATACATTTATTTACAAAGATCCGAAATACATTCCAAATGAACCTCTCTTAAGATGTTAATAATTTACTTTAAATTTGACAGCGAATTGAAATGAATGTTCAATAATCAAGTTTTCAATTTAGTTTTGGATCCTGTGTAACTCTAAAAGGAATAAGAAAATAGCTTTTGTTATTTTAAACAAGAATAAATTGGATATAGACAGATGATATTTATCTGACCAATGTACGGTTGAACGACGTTAGGTAAATAAACTAAAATAACAGTTATGGTATTTCTATTGTATCAGAGTATTAGATTATTTAAATTATTAAGAGCTACATACTAATAAAACTTTCTAAACTAAAAGATTAGTACTGGTATTGTTATTGTATTAGATTATTTAAATTATTAAGAGCTACATACTAATAAAACTTTCGAAATAAATGTGGGTATCTGAGAAAATGGTAAAGTAGTGAAAACATATTTTACATCATATAAACCTCTATTGTTTTTCTTTTTGAAGTTCAATTGATTTTTGAATAGAAAATTATTTTAATTATTTAGAGCTTTAAAATAATTGCAAAATAATTACTTTTGGCATAAATTATGTGGGTGAAGAAAGTGAGTCTCTTGAGCACGCTTTTAATTATTCCAATCAACGTCATAGACAAACTGTTGAGTTTAAATCTACCATGGCGACCCTGAAGCTGCAGATGACTATAAGTTGCTCCATGGAAAAACATAGTATTACATTTTCATATGATCACATCTAAATTTGAAAGAGACAGAGTTGTAAGTTGCCTCACACATAATTCGCATAAATTTTCCTAATTACGGGCATGATTTTGTTTACAAACTTTAATGATTATACTTATTAAATATTAATAAAAACTAAGAAAAAATGTTGAGTTGAAAAGTTCGTTGATTTTGATATGCTTAAGAGCGTGGCTAGATGTTAAGTCTCAACCGTTCGCGAGTCGGATGGACTTGTGGCAGATTTAGCGAAAGTATGCGAAATAGCAAAGTCGAAGTCGAATTTTTCATAATTCACTAGAAGGTAACACCATGTAACGTGCTAATGCTAATACCGGAATCATTATTTTCAACTTCACTGGTATTGTGAAGAAATTAATTTCATTGTTGTTGTTGTTATTGTAATGAGAAATGTCAGTATCTAATGTATTTTGTTTTAAAATATTGAAGTTTGTGCACTATTTACAGTTTATCTTTTATTCAAAATTGAACAACTATAGAACTAAATGTAGCAGCAGGAGTAACAAATGCGAGTAAACAGTAAAATGGCCTTATAAGAAAAATGTAGTCCTAGAATAAATGGGGAAGAGTAGCTTTCTTTAGTGCGCTCTTCAAACAGTTTTTAAAATGTTTAGCTACACAATATCCACTCTATACTGTTACGATAGCGAACGATTGCGGTTATAGCAAAAGGGGCAATGATCGACTACTCATTTTCCCAAAGACTCGTTTGCCTTGGGTCTTGTTTAACGTGATTATATCGTCACGAACTGGCAACGATTGTTTAGGTGTAAAAGAGATTTGAATATCTACTACATACCTGGCTGCCTACCTGCCTGTCTGCCTATCTGTAAATTTTTCTTATGAATTCATACATTCACACTGAAATGAGCCACTGCACTCCAAATAAACTGTATAAAAACTGCACTAACTCACATTTACATAAAAATATGATTGCTAATATGGAAATCGCAAACCTGTGCAAGGTATTTTTTTTGTTAATTTTTTTAAATTTTTAAATGTTTAATATTTTTATATTTAAGACAATGGATCTGCATTTGCAGCAGACACAAATTAAGTAAAGACGTTATGTTCTTTCGTTTACTTTGTTGTAGATTTTACAAGGGAAAAGATATAGATTTGAGATATGCAAAAGAGAAAACAAAAATATTTACTGTAAACACTTATCTTACTTATCTATAATATTAGAGGAAATTATAATTAAGATTTTTTCACGATTGCCATTGGTGCTTATCGTATGCCAACGTATGAATACAGATTTTAAGCACAAATTAGATTAAACATTAAAAAACATAAACTCAAATTCAAGTTCAGTTTCTGATTCAGATTCAGTTTTCAATCAAACACAGAGTCTTTGTCTGCTTAATTGTACCAACTCGAAAAGTATATTGTGGTTATTTTTGCTGTTTTTTGTTTTTCTCATTTGCCATTACTATTGGATCTGGTTGTTGTTGTTATTATTATTATTGTTGGAGCCAATGTACCTAACTACCTACTCCTCACGTAATTGTGTTATACCGGTTTTATCGTAACCAAAATCCATTTGAGTTCTTAAAAGTTGTATCACTTTTTGTTGCATTTTGAATTTGTTTTTATTCAATTCTTAATATATTTTTTTTGTTTTTTTCTTATTCTGCTCATAAAACTATATTCTACTTAATTGGTTTTACGTACTCTATTTTGCTTTTTACTGATGGATGGATGCTGTTGGAGAACTAGTAGTCAAGTTCGTTGTTTAAGTCTTTTCTTGCTGACAATGCAGTGTGTAGCTCATATACAGCAAATTACATAAAAACGAATTATACACAAATCACAAAACACACAAACAAACTTCTTTTCATTTCTTTATAATGAATTCAACAAATTTTTTCCATTTTAATAAATAAATAAAAAAATATATTTTTTCTTCTTATTTATAATCAAATATAACGGTTGCTATTATTTATATAATTTATTGGTATTTCTTTTTTGTTTTTTCATAAAATATTCAACACATCCAAGCCAACCGAATACAAAAGAAATCTTCTCAACTTGGTCGTTTAATATCGACTAAAAAGATTTGCTTCTGTTGCAGGGAAGTCTTGTAGTTATGCTTTGGTTTTTTGCCATTTTGCTATGAAAAGCCGCAGTAGTGGACAACAAAACAGCTACTTTAGCTGCTCAATCATATGCACTCTCTCACACTATTGTTGTTTTATTTTGTTATCTGGTTTACTCTGGTATTTGGTATCAAATACTAACTTGATTTTGAGTGGTGCGAATAGTTTGGTGAGAGTTTGCATGTGAGTCGCTATTACTCTCTTTACTGTGCTCTTTTATGCACTAAAGGTTAAAGGTATTCGTGTTAGTGTTTGTTTTTTTTTTCATATAGCATTTAAACAGCATTCGATTCCATGCTTAAGTATCTTGTGCGTTGAAGAAGTGTGTATAGAAAAGAACTTGTGTATTGAAATTATTCTGGTTGGAATTTAAATATCAAAAAAAGTGTAAAAACAAAAACAATGTAGTTCTTACAGATCAAATTCGTTGTTCAAGTCTTTTGTTTACACGATTAGCGCATTGTTCATTAAAAATAAATTAAATTATTAAAATTTAAAAATAAAATATATTTTTTTAATATTTAATTATATTAATTAAAAATAGTATGACTTATAGTATTAACCTTTTAATTGATGATCTTCATATAAAACTTTCATATATGTTAGCTCTAGGATATTGAAGCAATTATAGTCACTCTATTCACCTGTAATATACAATCAGAACTAGTCAAACAGTGTAAAACTTAAATCCGTAATCACTTAATGCCTTATTTCATTGAATTAAATAAATGAGCATTTGCACTTAAACTTATCTGGTCATAACAGCCCTTTACCGGGTTTTAGCTTGACGCAGTATATCTCTCCAGACGCCTCTGTTGTGTTGTCGCCATCACTAGGCTCCTTCATTAAGTGCGGCTAGTGCTACCACAACTTGATCATTTCACTGAAGACACGGTCTACCTGTATGCCTTCTTCCTTTAACTACCGCTTCAAAGTTACGGAGCCCAAGAAAATATAAACAAATTAAATTACGGATGAATTAAACAGGTAACAATTACAGGAATTCATATCAAAGAAACCAGTATTGAATATTATTAAAAAGTGCAGACAATTTCAAAATCAATTTTTAAGATTGGCACAACATAAACAGCAGAACGCGTTAGGTAATGAAAAATCGAATTAACTGTGCCACGCCACAATTAATCTAAAAAGGAGATCCTTTGGTGTATAGCTACGATCAAATTGGATAAACCTGTTGTGATGTTAGAAGGTCACTGGTCAAAAAACTTGACCCTAGTCGAAAAACTGCAAAAAGAGTAGAGAACTAAAAAAGAGAATTGAACTTAAGTTTGTTCAAATAAATGCATTCTAATATAAAAGCTTACGAGCTAACAAATTTGAAGGAATCTCAAATTGAACCTGAACGAATAATCTCCTATAACAACAAATATTTTGTTTTCTTAAATCTTATCTTTGGTTGTGCAGTAACAAAATATAGCTTATGAGATGGTTAAAGAGAGAAGGAAGCTGTGTCTTTATCAATGAACCAATTGTCGTTATATAAGCAACAATTGTTATGTTCCCATATATATTAGAAAAGCACACCCAAAAAGTTAGAATTGCCTTTGGTCAGATGTTCTATGTCAAATGCACAGATCCATATTTAACCATGATTACCAAACCATTATTCAATTTGCTAATACTATCAAAAATTTTAGATTCTAAGAAAATGAAACTTTGACATACATGAGCGGACAATGAAAGACAACATCACATTTATTGTATCAAAAATAATGAATCCCAATCTTATTAATGAGATTATGATGTCTGGTGACTGAATTATTAACGGACGCAGTAATAATATAGATCATTTTTGCTCTAAGCTACAATTTATATATTAAAATTTTATAAACAGACTGAACAAGTAAATACCCAAAACACTTACTCATAAATAAATATTTTACACAATTATTTTACTTTTAAACTACTTACATCGTCTGAGAAATCACCAAGATGCTTCACATCCTCAGTTTCTAGATAATCTTTAACTTCTTCATGTGAAATGACACGCTTATCATTCGTTTCTCTGACAAGACCATCAGCTGGTCGCACAATCATCTTTTTAATAACTGTGCCACCATTACTGAATTCTGCCAATTGTCCACAATCAACTTGATTTTCTAAAATTGCTACATTATTCGGGTTTGTTGATTCATCAACTGGAATGCCTAAATCACGTTTCTATATGAAGAATTGCCATTATTTTTTATAATAAAAAATATTGTTTATTTGTTATATTAAGAAATTTACTTCCGTGCTTTCTGTTTCTTGCTTATCAGTGTCCTCAGTTGTGCTTGTTGAGACTATTGGTCCCGAATCTTCTACTACTTTACCGTCCTCTAGCACTACATTACGTTTGACATGAGTTTTTATTTGACGCGTTGTTGTAAGTTCGGTTTTTCGTTTGGTTATCCATTCCTCTAAATAATAAAATATATTAATATATATATAATAGAATGAATATAATATATATAATGAAATAATATGAACAATATATAATATAATAATACTACTTTTAAAATTGTTTGTAAATGATATTCAAAAAAAAAATATATTAATATATATATAATAGAATGAATATAATATATATAATGAAATAATATGAACAATATATAATATAATAATACTACTTTTAAAATTGTTTGTAAATGATATTCAAAAAAAAAAGAGAAAAAATAAAATCAATCCAACATCAATTGTGAAGCTTATAAATATTTAGGGCTATTATAGGTAATGAGAAAAGGTTAGAAACGTACTAATGATGTTCTATTGTGTGTTTATATTGCGTATTTATAATACACAATACTCTGTAACTTATAAAACTAATAAAATAATTCCCCAATATTTAGTATATGAATAGCAGCACTTGTAGATAAGAAAAAATAGAAGTAAAAAGTATAATTGTGATCTACTAAGTTAGAATGATCCATTTTAAAGAGCGTATTTAAATTGCATATATAGGGCAAGAATATTGTAATCTAGAATCGTAGTCGATCATCATTTTTGTAAGTCTTTATTAAAGAAATTTATCATATATAATATAATATTGCTTTCTAATTGATGATCAATATTAAATTATATCAGATTAAGTGGTGTCAAATACATTCTTATTGATAGCAATTACAATCTAATCTAATTTAGCTATTTTTACAGACGTCATCAAAATTTTTTTAAAAAATTTGTAAAAAAAATGTTACAACTACTAGTTGTATGCAGTATTATGTTGCAGTTAATAAATAAATTTAATATAATAAAGACTGAGTGCTCAAAGGAACAAAAACATTATTTTTTAATAGATTTACTGTACCTGAAAACAGAAAAAATTTCACTATTAAATAATAATAGATTGGCATCAAGGTAAAAACTTTAGTAGTAAGACATATTAATATACATAATAATAATATACACCTATCCCCCGATTTACACGGTAGATACGTTCCTGAGAAAAACGTGTAAATCGAAAAGCTTGCAGAAAATGCATAATTTTGCTATTTAACAGTTGTGATTTTTTTCAATATTTTTAGGTGTTCACAGAAATAAAAATAAAATGCATTGACAGGTTAAAATATTACGGAAACACTGTTTTTTTATTTAATTACAATACATTAAACAGAAGAACAAAAAATAAAACCAAAGGTGTTTTATTATCCTTCATCACTATCAGAAATTACTCTCATTCTTTTTTTCGGAATCGAAGGTTGGAATTCACTTTCATCACTCGAAGTTATTTGTGCCGATTCGATGTTTGAATCAGAAGTATTTACATTCTGAGAGGTGGTAATAAAATCGGTTATTAACAATTGCTTCGAATTTTTTGTAAGATCTTTGTAAACTTCTTCATATTAAGCCAAGCAGCGATTTATGTCACGTTGGAATCGTAAAGCCCTTTCAACATTTGTGTCATTTTGTATAAAATGATTACCCAGCTTTCTTCCCAATGCGAGTCCTTCGCGGATGACTTTAGCAGTGAATGTTACTGGTACTAATTCCTCTTCATCAGATTTGTCAGACTCACTTTTGCAAACTAAGTTAACTAAATAATCCTCACTTAGTTCTTTATCAGCCATTAACTCTGCGATATCATCATCAGTAAAATCATCAAAACCTTCTCCGCCCAATGAATGCGCCATCTGTACTATCTGCGAATATTCATCATTTAACGTTGAAATGGAATGTTCATTTTTGACTACATTTGGCCACAATTTTTTCCAACAGCTATTGAGCGTTGTTTGCTTAATCGCAGTGTAAGATAAGGCGATATGCTTCACACAGTCTAATATTGTAAAATTTTTCCAAGCACTTATAACTGTTAAAGATTCATTGTTCTCCATTTGTTCCAAAATATATGTAAAGGCTCGTTTTATGTACAAAGCTTTAAAAGTAGAAATTATGCCTTGGTCCAATGGTTGTAATAATGAAGTTGTATTTTTTGGTAAAAATTTTGCTTCAACGTTCTCATATTCTAGATCTTGTGGATGACCCGGCGCATTGTCAATTAACAAAAGCACTTTAAAAGGCAATCCCTTTGAACTTAAATATTTTTTGGCATCTGGGATAAAACATTCATGAAACCATTCAGTAAACATTGCAGCAGTAACCCACGCTTTCTTATTAGCCCTCCAATAAACGGGAAGATTATTGATGTTTACTCCTTTAAAGGCACGGGGCATTTTTGATTTGTTAATCACTAATGGTTTCATAATATAATCTCCTGAAGCATTGCTACAGAAAATAATTGTTATGCGATCTTTTGCTGCTTTATGACCACTAGCCGATTTATAAAATTTTGAGACATAAGTCCTTTCAGGCATTTTTTTCCAGAATAACCCTGACTCATCAGCATTGAAAACCTGATCAGGGGTGTATGAATTGTCGTTAATAATTTCTGCAAAATTTGCTGGATATTCTTGGGCTGCATCTACGTCGCCAGAAGCCAGTTCAAGGATTCCCCGTGAGATGTGTACACAGCGCACGTGTTCAAACACAGTAGCATTTAGTAGAGTGCGAGAAAAACAAAAAAAAAACTTATTTGGAAAACCGTGTAAAAGCGAAAACGTGTAAAACAAGTACCATGTAAATCGGGGGATAGGTGTGTATGAATTTTCTGACAAAAACTGTAAATCTATATGTCATATAAAGAAAGAAGTATGAATTTTTAATTGCTTTTTTTTAACAAAATTTCGAGTTTACCTTATAAATTAAAGTTGCAAAGTACCAAATAATAGTAATTTACTAGTGAAGAATTACTACCAGTACTACAACTACAATATACGCTCTTCGCTATTTTAAGCTTTTGCTCTTTTAATAATTTCATGGATAAATTTATAGCAACGAATTTTTTTAATAAATTAATTTGGGTATGCTTAAAAGCATGCTGCAAATGTTTAACATATGGTATGAACAACGAAGTAAAGCTGTGTAGGCAATTAATTAATTGATGTCCATTATTCTGTTTGACTTTAATTTATAATATATTTAATAAAAATATGAATAAATATTGTATAGATTTAATTAACATATCAGTTTTGTTAAAATTTTTTAATGTATGGTAAATAAATCATAACGGTTTACCTAAATATAATTATAATGTCCACATTTATATAGCAATAAAATTTCATTAGCAAATAACTAAAACTTTAACAACCAATTTGTCTAGAAAAAATTGTTTACAATTCATTTTAAAAACTTTCGGCGTATGAAACGCAAGTCATGAGTTGTATACAAATTGAAAGTTCTGTTCACATGTGTCGGGGAGAAACGCAGGCTAAATGGAATCTGCGGGTCACAATTCTTTTTCATTACAAGATTACTGCAGATTGCTGCTATTGTTACTGTTATTGTTACTGGTATTGTTGTTGCATTGTAAGTTTTTGTTGTCGTTCGTGACTCCCATAAACGAGCGTTAGTTGTATTGCAGCGCTTGAGTGATTTGGGTTTAGCTGAAGTTGGTATTATGTAATTCCCCATTAAGAAACAGAAGAACGGACAAACACCGCACAGACCCAACAACCTGCTCTGTGTGTCACAATGTGTTGGTGGTAGACAAAAGCGAGCAGAAAATCCACTGAAAACCGTAAGTAAAATATTGTATCTGTAGATGCGTTTTATTTTGTATTAAAACCGTTGGTCTGTTATTTTTTGCTTTTGTTTATGTTTTATTTTATTTTTTTTGTTTTTCGTTTTCATTTGAGTTTTTTGCTTTTTACTATTTGCTATTTAAAAACCTGCACACTATTGCATCAAAATTACTGGACCATTAAAGGTCAGTCAAGTACTTAAAGCATGCAACCGAAATCAAAAACGCTGATATTCGTTTCGTTATATCCGCATTTTTAGAATACACAAACGGGCCGGTAATTTATGAGCTCGCCTTCAATTTCATTTAACCAACGAATCAATTAAGAGTGAAATGGATATCATTACCGCTCATATGCTTGATAAGTTATGCCATTGAGTAAAAATATTATAGTCACAATACCATAGAAATGAATTTTTATTCTAGGTATCTATTATTGGGTACCCAAATCACTCAAATCTCTGACGACGTCGCTTCAGTCGTTTTTGCTTCATATTTTTACTCAACGGTTATGCATTGCGATTAAAATATGCATTTCTTTATTTTCGCAACTACAAGGGTTTTAGAGGAAAAAAAATTTTCTTGGATTTTATTCCATTGCGTTGTATTTTCGATATCCGTTATATTTTCTCCGAGCTAACGCATCCAACAAATTGAAAGTTTTCATAGAAATAAATAAGCAGAAAGAAAAAGATACTGAGTTATTAGATCTCCAAATGCTGATCATCAAAATAATATCTGAGAATATTACAATTCTTTTTGTGGTTATTTGTAGTTAATGTTTTGCATTGCACTATTCTACTATATATCTCTGGTGAGTTGGTAGAATATTTGGTAGAAAATGGCTACTAGTTGGAATTCGTTTAGGATACATAAACCACTTACAGTCTAAAAAGCGAGTCCATTTTAATAATCAGCCTTTAGAATTTCAGATGAAGAGACTCTGTGCTAATTTATCAAGGGCTATATCGAAAATTTGTACACTTGCATTAAGGGTTGGAAATATACTTAAGAAAAGAGAAACGTAGTGATCGACCGGACATTCTTAAAGTCGACAAGTGGTTGGTAAGAAGAAAATAATTTTTTGGAAGGTGTTACCTAATAGTTTCGTCTTAACTTGATTAGTAAGATTGATTACAATATATTGCTGAAGTAAAGGGAAAGGATTCTGATGATAATTAATCTAGAATATTGCTACTCGCGGTATCCGAAGACAACAAGACTACGTAAACCTGTACATAGATAAAAAATTCCGCATATATGAACCAACGAAATATAACAAGCAATATAATGAAAATAGTACTGCTTGTTCTTCACAGCAAATGAAATTAGATGAGTCACAGGATCGGCAAAGAAAGAAATAATATTGTGAGAAAAATCATTGATTAGAATTTCCAAGTCAGTCCCCTAACGGGGCGATTAGTAAACACGTCGATAAAATAAGTGGTTACTGAAGTAAGAACTGGAATATAGCGTAACTTTGTTGTGTCCTTCTGTGACATGAAGTATATTCAGATAACGAAAAAGTAGCTGTCTGGCCAAATAAATATCTCGTTATTGAATTATTAAACTTGAATAATTCCGTAATCTTTGTAAGGCGCGTATTGTGGAAAAATTTAAGACTTAAGGAACTGGAGGAACTACTAATTAAGGAACTACTGTACTGCTGTATAAAATGTCAAGAAAACAGTTTTAAACTGACTTCTCGCACTAAGCATATAGGGTACCAAAATTTTTAACGGTTTATTGACAGAATTATTGATACAGGGTTATAGCGAAATGCCGAACCATGTAAACGAGATTGTTCTCTTAGATACCAATATCTGGTGCTTCTATGCTATGGATGTTGGAATAGCTGAAAACATTTTTTGTAAATGTCTGGACATGTTCAGCGGAAATAAACTTTTCCATAGTGTGAATAGACTTATTATTACACATAACATATGGAACAGAAAAAAACCATCCAAAGTGCTTGCTTTCATTAAAATTTTAGGGATGAGTTAAGGATAGGTAAGTACATTCTAGAGGTAAATTGGCAGTACTGAGCGGCGTGAAATCGTTAAATCACAAAAAGGCACCAAACATGTTCAGTTGCCCTAAACGGGTGTAGTATCTGTGTTTTAGGATGTTACATAATAAAATATTCATTGATTATATTAATGCATATAGCGATTTTAGTGCAAAAATAATGAAATCATAAAAACTTTCTTCAAATGAAGCAGATAATTCCTCTTTCAGTAAAATAATACACAGTATCACAGTTAATAATACCAGAATCATAGTCTTCTTTTACTTTAAATGACCACCCTAGCCGATAAATTGTTCAGATTTTATCCGCAGTGATTGCATATTCCTATGCAAAGTTCACAAAAGAACGATACATAGAAAAATATTTAAAATAAAGTGTTTTAAAGTAAAAGTATAGAAATATTAGAAAAGCATTGGAATGAGTATATGACTGTATTAGAGAGCATATTCTGATGCATAAAAGCGAATATAAATCAAAATAATATATTTTTATATTAGAAATCAAAAAAAAAATTGTTAAGCTTTTACTAAAGTCAAGGTTTTTGAAAAGTCTACACATTTTCTAGAAGCATTTTTTTTTAAATCGCTTGATCACTGATGGGTCCTATGTATAGGTATACTTAGTTAAACAAAGGACTGACTGTCTAGCCAAATTAAAACTCCATAATCGATTAACTAGACCTGAATCATTCTGTCAACTTCTACTTATATAGAAAAATGAATTCCTCTGCAGCCATTCTCGATCACTAATTACTTAAATTAATTAACTGACTATATGACGACGGTAAATTGCAATGGGTTATTTGTAGTCACTCATAATAAAACAAGCTATTCAAGTTACCTTAAATAACTTTAATAACCTGAAGAAATATTTAATATTATTTATAACAAAGGCAAGACAGGTTAGACACGTATTGGTACACCATTGCCTCACATGAATAAAAATAAAATGATGTATGCAATCTTAACAATGTGCCACCTACCATGCTGCGACCGAATCATTTCTATTTCATTTAGTAAAACTTATTCAATTGTATTCACATTTGAAACTTCTCTTTGTCCGCATACCCCACAACACTTCTCATGTAGCCACTTCCAGTGTTCGCCAATTAGCAACACATGATTTATGCGGTTATTAACTGCCAATTATGGCCTACGGTGACCGTTGAAACGTCCACATTGTTATGCTAATTAAAAAGAGTTTGAGTGAACGGTTTTGCATTTCCTTTAGCTCGCGTTTGGATGCGCGATTTTGGTCCTTCCGTTCGAAACAAATAACTTTACAAGTGCAGTACACAATTAAATAATAAAATAATTACTTCCATAAATACGTAATAAAATTCAAACACTAATGCATATAAAATTTATATATATTTAAACACAATTATTTATGCAAAATAAATGGCGATAAAGAGCTGAGAAAAGCAATTCATTACCTCCTAAATGGGTGCAATATCTTCTTATGAATTTTGTAACGCGAAGTGCATATCAATTAAAGAGAACTGAAATTATTGCAATGGCCATTAAAATATAGCCATTGTGAATACACACAATATTCATATATGCTGTACATAATATTATAATATAATATCAATTATAATATAGATTGGTAGTCAAAGATACAGAGCTTTGGGAAAATACTCACTGAAATGTACAGACGAAGCAAAGATTATTATTATTGACAATATGCACGATAATAAATTGGATAAACAGATGAACGTCATCTTCAATGGAAAAAGTTTGATAGTCAAGCAAAATAGAATTCCGAAACGTTTCTATTGAATGTGAGATGACTATGGTCTATACAGAGAGATCAGATAAAACTGGAATGGATTTATCTTCACACAAATGTGAAGATATGTAGAATTTATAAGTATTGCTAGAACATATGAGGATGACTTTGTTACAGATACTTATGGAACTGGAATGGATTATTTTTTACAACACCAAAAAATACAAATGCATGTTCTTAACAAGATTATCGCCAAAAGCAAAATGTTTTTGATAATAATCGAAATACGATTTGTAAATTTTTTTAAAAGTATTTAACTATGGTAGTATAACTACCTTGTAGATACCATAGTTATGGAAATACAGTATTTATTCCAAATAAGGATATTGTCAAAATCAAAACTTATTTGAAAACAAACAAAATAGAATTCGTAGATTAAGCTAAAGCATGTTAGATGATTATTGTAAACACTGGTCAAACTGGTATAGATTTACTTCCATAGTATTCGAAAATAATATAAATAGGGTAATATCAATAATATAGCAATATATTGTATATTCCAAGTTAATGTCATAAAAAAGAAAAGCTGTTTAAAAATAAGCGAAATAGGATTCATTGATCTTGCTGGATCATAAGAGATGACTATGTTGAGACACTGATCAAACTAAAATGAATTAAACTTTAGAGTTCCGAAAAACTACGCAAGCGTACATTCCAAACAAGCTAGGCGTTAAAGGGAAGAAATGGAATACAAAGATGTGCTAGAGGATATGGATGACTAATTTGTAGATACTGATGAAACTTGAATAAATCGATCTTTACAACAGTAGATAACACGTGTATATTTCTTACAAGATTATCGTCAAAAAACACTTTTTTAAAAATAAACAAAATAGGATTTGAAGTCGCATCCAAAAATATGACTATGTTGTAGTTACTGATAAAATTTGAATGGGTTAATCTTTACAACACTAAAACAAGTATATATGTATATATATGAAAATACAATCATCGTCAAAACACAAGTTTATTTTAAAATAACAAAATAGAGATTTTCATATTATGCTACTGATGGATACTGATGCTTAATTTAGAGTCTTTAAAAGTAGTTATCACAATTAGAAATTGAAGTTTATAGCAATAATATATATGTTTATTTAAATTATTATTATTTTGATTTTTTTAAGATAAATTTAAACAATTCAAATAAAATGAAAATTATACAAAATTTATTTTTTTTACAAATTTCATATACTTCGACTCCATCTGCCGCCAACACATTTGGAAAAACAAAACATTGAACAAAAACATTACAAACATTGAAGTCATTATGTGGATTGTGGACTTACGAATTCACAACTTCACAACCTCAAAAATTGTGAGATTGTTGCGAATGTATTTACGAATGTTTGGTAAAAACGATTATCTGCGCTACGGACGGATATTTGCATTAAACGCTCTAATTGCTAGCATCACGATAGTATCTACACTACAATATGCAAATGTACTTACCTTCTTTGGTAATAGCTTCAGTATCGAAATCGTTCTCATCTTTGGATTCATACTCGGCCTGCAAAGTATCGATATCATAAAAATTAACACGAGTCACATGGCGAACAAAATCAATTGTGTTAGTAGATTTGTTAGGATTGTAAGTAATAGGGCGAGTTGGGCTGAAGTTGTTGCTAGTAACTTCAACACGAGTTGGTGAGATTGAGATGGGCAATGATATACTCTCCCGCTCCATATCTTCTTGCAGAGATATGGACGTTTGTATTTCCGGTGGGTCCACGAAGCTAAAATGATATTCCTGGTATGTGTGTTGTTGATTTGGACGTATTTCACAATGCTGACATTCTTTGCTACGCAGAGGCTTTGGTATAACATTAGCGTATAAATTATAACGTCCCGAAAAGTAGGATACATACGGTGGTTTAGTTTTTGGTAACGGTGGAGGCAGTGTTGATTTTGATTGTGTTGGTGTGATAGATATTGATGAATTGTTGATAGTATGGTAGTGGGGAAATCTGGTATTATTTTCATAATATTCTTGATCTTGCTCTGGTTGTCGTATGGCATATCTTGCTGTATATGCAACCGTTGGATTTGAACTGTAGTTCTGGAAATGTTGTCGGCTGTTATTGTTTGGAATATTAGTATAAGTAATGGTGCCAGTGGTCTCATTTTTTTGTCCACAGTTTTCGTAACTATTTTTATGACTAGAAAATTGTTGTAGATGCTGTTGCTGACGCTGATATTGTTGTTGTTGTTGTGTGTAGTTTGTTGGGTAGTCATGGTGCAGATTGTGCCATTGAGATTGGTTGAAGTGGTATTTTTGCTGCTGCTGTTGTTTATGTTGTTGGGCTTTGTAATTTGTAGTGAGTATGGCAGTATCGCCAGTTGATGTTGTGGATATGGTGCTGCTTTCGTTTGATCCTCCATCACAGCCATTTGTTGTATATGGCGTTAATAGTAAAATCACGACCATTCGAGTATTAAAAAACACATGAATTTCAAAATTTTATATATACACTTGCACGTAGAACTACTTAACTCTTATACGTGCGTGTAATAATTTTTAATTTTTATATTTGTATTTCTTTTTTGTAAAATTTTTAATACTCTTAAAGATTAATTTATTAATAGTTTCAAAAACTGCACCGAAATGCATAGTTTTTTTCTAGTCATTTTTACAAGATTTTTCATTAACCCTGCTTACTGCTCAATTGCTTTAATTAGTCTTTGTGGTAACTTTCGGCTCAGATTTGTGGTGTGATTTATGCATTTTCTTACGTTGTACGGTTAGAGCACTTATTTACATACATATACGTCTTCCACGTCTTCAAACGTACCTCGACTTCATCACGTACATCTGTGCACTGTGTGAATTACGTTATATTCAATGGAGACTCAGCTGTGTCGATTGGTTTGAATTTCACTTTAGTTTTGTTAATTTTCTCTGATTTTCACTGTTAATAATAATATATTTTCTTTTTTCATGATTTTTTGCTTTATTTTATTACATTTTTTTTATTTTAATAAGACAATAATAATATAGTTATTAAGCGTTTCAGTTTCTTTCACGGAAGATGTTGCATTCATGCTATTACTGCGCCACTATTTTCACGAGATTAATAAAATATTTACATGAATTAATTAATTTGGATATAAATGTGAATATTTATACTATATTTATTGAATATAAATTCAATAATTTTGAATTGAATTACCTACACAAATAAAAATATTATTTCGAACGATATTCAGCTTCATTTAGAAAAATATTCCATTATCATGCAATCAATATTGTGCAAATACCTTCAAATTAAGGTGAGTGTAGCGGGGGCTTAATATATATTCCATTGTAACTTTTGGAATTTCTAAAACTTTTTTCTTATATGATATATTTTAAAGGCAAAAGAAGAAAGATGGAAAAAAATATATTTTACGTAAAACAAAAATCGAAATTAGAATAAAATGTGCAGGACTGTACTGAATAAAATCATACCGAACTATCCACTATGCCAACGCAATCAGTTACCATATAATATATTACATATATCCTTCTATCCTTATATAAACGTCTTGAGTGAGAAGCGAATAACGAAAAAGTGAATAAATTTTGCATAAATTTATATTACAAAGCGAGATGTATAAACCAAATAGAATAAATTCAGGATTTATTTTCTATATAGTTTAAATAGATGTGATTAGCTGTAGAGTTGATTTCAACTTCCAAAACGAGAGTAAATTCAGGCTGTTATTTTGCTTGTTATTTTGCTAAAATACAATGTACAAAAGTAATTGTTAATTATCATATGGGACGGTCCCGAATTCGTATAGTCAATTTCCTATATTTTTGAAATTCCTCTCCCCAAATTATTTTTAAAAAAGTACGAATTACTAAAATTCTGTTGTCAAATCAGGATTAAGAAGTGAATAACATAAATATGATATTTTTCCATTTTGATAAATGCGACAACATTTGGGTCAAAAATAGTTTTATCCTTAAAAGTTTCTAAGTTGATACCATTGAAAGTTTGGGAAAATAATTGTAGTAATTTTTTTTGTAATTGTAGTTTTATGAAAAAAAAAGATGCAACGAGCACTATTGCAACATTGTTGTTACAATAATATAAACGAGAACGTCTTCTTGTAAGAAAAACGATAAATAATAGATATTGTTTTTGTTGATATTTAGTTAATATTATTTAATGATTACCAAACAAATATTTGGTTACATATGTTTACATTTTATTTGGACCAACACTGCGATCAGTCATTAACCAACGTAAAGTGCAATTCTGCATTATCAGAATTTCTTGTTGGTCAGTGCACTCAAGAAAGTGTCATATTTTGGCTTATAATTATATCACCACAGCGTAGGCAAATTTATTTTTTTGTGAATTATGCATTAATATTTATTGTTAATTAATGCATAATTCAATATTTTTTATATGAAAAAATTTTGTATAAATAGTAAAAGTTCGGAAAGAAAATACAATACAAATTATGTGCTCAAATTATCAAAAAATACAAGTAGTTCAAGCTACTTCACACACAAAAGAGTCTACCAATCTAATACAGATTAAAGATCTGGGTTAGCATCAAGTAGCGTACAGATATATTATGACAGTCAGCACAATGATAATACAGGCATTATGACTAATGAAATCGGTACCTAATTATTTTTAGCGTCGCATTTATATTCTAACGGAAGTAAAAAGTAATAAAACAAATATGTCTTTTTAAAAATCAACTTCAATCGACGTCGGTTATAAGTTCCTCCACAACCTTGATATGAAAGAGTAAATGCCTTCTGTTCAGTTAGGATCAGTTTTAGATCAAAAGTTCTATATTAGCGTGAATCCCTACTGTGCTTTATCTATTTATGTATCTATCTATTGCATATTGAATTTGTAGAAAAAAATAAAGACATATTAAACATTATTAACATATCGTTTTATAAAACTTTTGTGTGTAATATTTATACAAAATATATATGTTATGTATTTTTATGTATAGGTATATTTTTTTTTATTGAAATTTTATTTCTTTTTTTTAATTAGAATTTTCAATATTTTATGACACAAGCAATTAGTTAATTTTAGTGCAACCACAAGTAAGGTTGCTACATTGCGCAACTGGCCTAGATCTCACGACGATCGTGGCTTAATATTGTATCAAAACAAACTCAATTACAGCAAAAAAAGCGGCAATAAAAAATACACTTTTGAACTCGGTTTAACGAAGCCCCATTAAAGTAGACCACTATCTACGAAAATGGATGCAAATATGAGGTCAAAGAGTCAGAAATAGAAACATCTAACCCACAGTAATACCAACAGTCGTAATCACAATCTACACCAGCAACAGCCAAACATCGACAACAACAAATAATGAACACGTTGTTCCATACAATGAGCTCAATTTCATTTCGAAACAAACTTCAGTCAATATAAGTAAACCGTTGCATTTACAAAAATCACACTAAAAGAAAACTACGAAAATATTGAAAACAATAACATAATAAAATAATAAAACAATAATTTTTTTAAAATAAAAAAATGTGTTATTTTAATAAAATAATAAAACAATAATTTTTTTAAAATAAAAAAATGTGTTATTTTCATTTGTTTCATTTGTGCGTTTCCAGCTGAAAAAGCGTAAATTCGCCTCTTTAGTCTGGGCGGGCTGCTTGCGACTGGACTTAGAAGAGCGCAGAATGTGTTGCTAATGCGGCAACACATCGAAATCACCTTGTTCTGATTAAGCCCGCAGTGGAAATAAATTTGCTTTGAACTTTTTATTTGTCACGAAAAATTCGAAAAATTATTTATTATGTATTTATTTATTTTCTGCTTTTGTTGTTTTTTAAGTTACACTGTACAATAATTCTGTACAATACAGAATTTCATAAATTCTGATAGGTACGAGACGAGAATAACTAAGTGCGAGTGTGTCTATTTTTGAAAGCTTGTATTCACGTATATGTGCGTTGGTATGCGTTGCTATACAAACGTGTGTACTTATAAGTAAATTTCAGTATATACCTGTATAGGTCGCACACAGTGGCTGACGAAAGGGTTTACTCAGACATTGCATAATAATCTCGGGGTGTGGCTTGGAGATAGCAAGATTACTGTAAGTTATTGGGTTATAGGTATGACCAAGCATGACAAAGGAAGAAAATATTTTATTTCAAACGTTATTTTATTTCAATTGTTGAAAATATAATAAAAAAATTGTGTATAATAAATAAGGTCTGCAGAATGTTTATTGCATAGAATATAAAAAAACCGAATCAAAATCCTTTTAATTTTTTGTTGAAATTACTTTCCTATATTGTTAAGTCCTTGACTAATGCTGAAGGCTTACCTTGCAAAAACAAAGCGAACTAGAATAAAATTTTCCATCATCATATGATGAAAAATGATGTATTAATTAATGGTATAGACTGGGAGGTCATTCAAATCATTTGGCTTTCAGCAAATCTGCATCACTGGAATGTCAATTGTTCTATTGTGCCAATTTTTCAACGTTGGCGCATACCGACAAGCAAACTGTGCAGAAGTTGCCATGATGAAAAGAAGAGCAATCATTTATTAATCATTTTCTATATTTTTGTCCAGGACTACAGAGAAAATGATTTCCATACTATACATTAAAGTCGCTTCAATACCTTATAGAGGCATCATTAGCCTGTTAGTGACAACGAAGATAGTATGATCGGTTTCTGTTACATCTAGCTACATCTAGAAGATTAAATAGTTTATCTAGTTTATCAAATTAGAGCTGATGGAAAAAATGGAGAGTGTTGTCTCGTTCTGCCAACTTAAAAGATTTCACAAGGGGTAAAATATATCTCCAAATAGAAGTGTTATAATTTATTTAATAACATGCTCTCTCAATCTAATCTGTCACTAGATTACTTAAAATGGTCTTCAAAGAACGATGAACATTCAATTATGTATTGAAAATAAATTCGCTTGCTTGCTATTCGTATTTCATTCTATACGTTTATACGTATAATAAAAACAGAAACTGCTTGTTCATGAGCTCATAACAGACATAATATGTCTGTTATGCAGATATAAAATTTATACATTCCTTTTGTTTATTTAAAGTTAAGTTCTATTTTTAATTAATAATCATATTGAATAGGAATTTCTTCGGGTTCTTTTCGAATTCAAACTGGAAACCTAAAGCCTAAATATAGAATGTTGAAGGAAGAAAAAGCTGAAGACGAATTAAGAACATATTCGTGTGCATAAATTATATTTTATTATTAGAGCAATAATTTTAGTTTTTACTACTTTTATAAGTTTTTAATAATATTAAATTATAATTGAACTGTTGCCATAAGCAATTAAATTCTGAAATCAATTATTTATAATTATTTAATGTTGGTAATTATATGTTAAGTAACAAACTTGAAGGGCAAAAGGTTCAAATGTAATTTAAGTGTAATGCTATACTTAAGTTATTATAATACATGATATGTTGTAAAACTTCAATTAAGAAAAAATTCTCAATATTATTTGTTAAAGTAAATCAGTTATATGTTACAAATGCCACACTGCCATAAATTGCCTAGTGAACTGAATTTATAATAATTTTGAAATAATTAGTGATTAATTATTGTTGAATTTAGCTGAAATATATGCACTATAAAGTATCAAAAGTGCCAGCTTATAGCGTCAAAATTGCGAAAAATAAAAAAGATAGCAAAATAATTTTAAATATTAAATTTAAAAATTAAATCTTATCATACGAGTATGTGTTTCCGTTAAGAAACACATGCATACATCATAACTGATGTATAGTATTTTCTTCTCAGTTTATTATCTTTGTAGTACTTGACTAAATAAAAACATTTGCCAAAATTTTTTTAAAAATTATCTTAAGAACATGAAGAGGTTGCTACAAAGAAAAATTTGTTGCGAAAGATTATTTTGAGGATATTGATACGCTGAAATTATTTTGAGAAAAATTTTAATTTGTGTGTTA